CTAGAAAGTAGTAGAGTTAAAATTGTTTTGATTCAAAAATCTATAATCTTTTTACTCAGCCACAGAAAACTCTTATTTAGTTTTATAAGCATCATCAGATTTACATCCTTATAATCCCTCATCTCACTCATCCTGACAACAAGCATCAGTGTAGAATGCAGGTTACCATCCAATATATCTTCAGCTCTAGGTAAGTGTTGTTCTGGCACGCATCCACAGATGCTTCTGCTTGTCCGGGGCCCTGAGACATCTGCAGAGTTTTCTGCCTTCACAGTCCATATGTCCAATTACCTTATTATTCAGTTAGCAAGATACTATATAACCCTGAAGTTAATAGTATGATTGGGTGCTGAGTAATCAGTATGGGTAATAGGATGCTCGATATTGCAGGATTAGAGAGGAGTAGTTTAATTGTCTGTGTTACTCTTTCTCTTCTTTTTTCTACCATGAAAGAGAGCTGGTATACTGCTTTCTTATTTATTGTATGAGGCTAGAGCTGTTATCTATTGAGTGACTAAGTTCTACACTTCATACCAGGCACACTAACTCATTTAAGATTCATAAGAATCTACTGGGTATTAATTCACAGTTGAGGCTCAACAAGATTATGAAATTTTCTCAAAGCCAGTATATAAATAAGTGTTAGTATTTGGATTTGAATCCAGATTTACCTGTTCTCAAAGTCTTGTTCTTTTGAATATACTATACTGTACTATCACAGAGATACTGGGGTAGGTAGAGGATATGAAGATTAGCTATTTTAGACTAAAAGTTTCTTAAAATTCCATCAAAAATTCATGTCATCTTTTATCAAAGTCTACTTAACAGTTCCATTATATGTTTACAAAAAGATAAATGATTACAGTCACAAGAGGGACTGATGCAAAGTGAAATAGAAATAAACCAAAGATTATAGAGCTCCTAGTAAAAGTATGTGATTATTCTGTTTGTAGTTTCAACTGAATGCTGAATGCCTTGTGTTATACTCTTAACACTAGACTTTTTTCTGATAAGATTCTTGAGAATAAGAATTGTGTCTTATTTCACTCCGATGCCCTCAGTGTAGTTACCACAAACATATCATGGGAATAATACTGTAAGAGAAACAGTTTAAGAATCAGTGCCAACTTACCACATTCACCGAGTCTAAAGCTGTCAGAAAGTGATCTTATGTAATCTTCACTGCCCCAGGATGTTGCATTTACAAAATGGGTTGTTGAATCACGAATGGTGAAACTGAAAGTGTACCTTTCTGATCCAATATCTAAGGGAAAACCAAGGCTTTTATTTTTCAGATGAAAAGTTTTAATTTTAAACAAAGGTGATTATTATGATGCTAAAACACTCAAACACATGGTATAAAAAATTATTTCAGATATAAATTCTACAACGTTATGCTTTAAGAATTGCAAAGCTGCCAAGGTAGGTAATTCACCTCACTGTGACCTCTCTGTTCCCTTTCCCTAGTTACCTCTATATTCAGAGGGAAATAACATGTAGCTTTGAACATGTAGGTTTGAACCATCCTGATTTTAGTTTATATTCTCCATTTCTCTCTTACTGTTGTTTTAACCTAAGTCATAATTCAGATCTAAATTATTTCAAAACAAATAAATGTGTGCTAGCTAAAATATACCACTAGGGGTCAGCAAGCACTTCTTTCCAGAATAAATTACAAAATAAATTTCTTTATTGTTGTTGCTAATTTTAAAAGTAATATAATGAATGGATAAAGAAGATGTGGTACATATATAATCAATCTGATTTTGGTGTTGACCATCTGATAATGTCCATGTGTAATGTGTTAAAAGTGTTAGTCATTCAATTGTGTCCGACTTTTTGGGACCCCATGGACTATAGCCCGCCAGGCTCATCTGTCCATGGAATTCTCCAGGCAAAAATATTGGAGACACAAAATACAAAAATACTGGAGGAGGGTTGTCATTCCCTTCTCTAGAGGATCTTCCCAACCCCGGGATCAAACCTAGGTCTCCCGCTTTGCAGGCAAATTCTTTACCACTTGAGCCACCAAAGAATCCTGTCCATGTGTAGAATGAGCCATAAAAATAATGAATTTTAGTCAGTCCTAGTGAAATGGGTGGACCTACAGCCTATTAAACAGAGTGAAGTAAGTTTGAAAGAGAAAAACAAATATCGTATACTAACATATATGTATGGAATCTAGAAAAGTGGCATTGATTATCTTATTTGTAGGGAAGACATAGATGTAGAGAACGGACTTGTGGACACAGTGGGGAAGAAGAGTGTGGAATGAATGGAGAAAGTAGCATTGACATATATACACTATCATGTGTAAAACAGATAGCTGGTGAGAAGCTGCTATTTAACTGAGAGCCCAGCCTGGTGCTCCATGATGACCTAGAGGGGTGAGATTGGGGGAGGGGAAGGAGGCTCAGGAGGGAGGGGATGTATGTATAACTATGGCTTATTCACATTGTTGTACGGCAGAAATTAACATAATATTGTGAAGTAATTTCCCTTCCATTAATAAATTAAAAAATTTTAAAAAGAAATACAAACAGCATGATACTGACACAAAAACAGACACACAGATCAGTGAAATAGGATAGAAAGCCCAGAAATAAACCCACACAATTACGGTCAATTAGTCTACAACAAAGGAGGCAAGAATATACAATGGCAAAAAGACAGTTTCTTCAATAAGTAGTGCTGGGAAAACTGAACAGTTACATGTAGAAGAGTGAAATTAGAACATTCTCTAATACCATATACAAAAATAAACTCAAAATGGATTAAAGACCTAAATGTAAGACCAGGTATCATGAAACTCCTAGAGAAAAACATAGGCAGAGCATACTTTGACATAAATTATAGCAGTACTTTATTGGATCCATTCCTAAAATAAAAATAAACAAGTGGAAACTAATTAAACTTAAATGCTTTTGCATAGCAAAGGAAAAGATAACCTACTGAATGGGAAAAATTATTTGCTAATGATATGATCAATAGGGATTGATATCCAACATAAATCTTCAGCTCATACAGCTCAACATAAAAAAACCCTAACAATCCAATTTAAAAAAATAGGAAGAACTGAATAGGCATTTTTTCCAAACAGGAAATGCAGATGGCCAACAGGCACATGAAAAGATGCTCAACATCACTAATTATCACGAAAATATAAATTAAAACCTCACACCTGTCAGAATGACTATCATCATAAAGAATACAAATAGGGGCCTTCCTTGGTGGCTCAGTGGTAAAAGAATCCACCTGCCAATGCAGGGGACATGGGTTTGATCCCTGGTTCAAGAAGATCCCAGATGTCGCATGGCAACTAAGCCTGGGAGCCACAACTACTGAGCCCACCTGCTGCAACTACTGAAGTCCCACACCCTAGAGCAGACACAGCAATGAGAAGCCCGAGAACAGCAGCTAGAGAAAGCAAAGAGTAGCCCCTGCTCACCACAACTAGAGAAAGCCTGTGCACAGCGACAAGGACCCAGCACAGCCAAAAATAAAAGAGATAAATATATAAAAAATCAAATCAAAAAAGAAATGTTCCCTTTAATATGGTGTACATGTGTGTAATGCTCACTCAGTAGTTTCTGAATGTCTGCAACCCTATGGACTGTAACCTGCTAGGTTCCTCTGTCCCTGGAATTCTCTAGGCAAGAATACTGGAGTGGGTAGCCATTCCCTTCTTCAGGGGATCTTTGTGACCCAGGGACTGAACCCAGGTCTACTGCATTGCAGACGGATTCTTTACCACTGAGCCACCAGGGAAGCCCACCTGTCACTATACCTAACAAGTCAATTAACACAGCCACAATTACTCAGGTGATTCAAACAAAATTGTCTTCTGTCAAAATTGCTGGCTGGCTGAGTAGAGCTCTGATTCCCTCAAGCTGTATAAAAGGATTTATACCATACCCTTTAATAAAAAGCACTGACACTTTAGAAGCTAGTAATAGTGTATTGCTACTTTTGGTATTCTATATTGTATCTCTGCATGTAAATTATAAAAGTCTGAAGATCGGTTGATTTTACTTATTTATTTTGGTCTCTGCTGCGGCACGTGGGATCTTCGGTCTTCCTCGCAGCATGTAGTTCCTTGACTAGAAATCAAACCTGGGCCCCCTGCATTGGGAGGTTGAAGTCTTAGTCATTGGACATCCGGGAACAGCCAGGGAAGTCCCTGAAGGTCAGTTGATTTTAAAAATCTGTTTTAGTCGTGGATTATGTTTCCATAGTCCTAAAACTGTTGCACAGACAACTAAATAAGGACCACTAAAGCCAGACTTAACTGTATTTCCCACATATGAAAGATGATTTTTCCCCCCTGAATCATTTAGTTCTTCGAATAAATACACAGATACTGCTGCATACTTCCCTCCCTCAACACTGTCTTGACATCCATGCTGGATGGCCTCCTACCACTTTCTGTTTTCTATGAGATTTACCTGTGTCCTTGTATCTGTTACTGACAGTTTACATGGAGTTTCTACTCTATGTTACACACTCTTACATGTAGAAGCTCATGTAAGTCTCATCCCAGCTTTGTTTACCCTGATTCTGTGGCTCTGCACAAGACAGACTCGGGGGTGAGCCCTGTCAATCTGGCTCCACGTCCATCCTCTCAGATGCTCTGATATCTGAGGATGATGAGAGAGACTACTTCTTTCTCCAGTCTTTACACTGGGTTTTGCACAAAGGAGGAGCTCAGAAAGTACACATTGATACACATTGATGAGCTGACCAATTTAACTAGCTATTTTAATACTGTATACACAGCTTTTAAAGTTATGCTTTAGAAATATCAAATAAAACCATTAAAATGATTTTAATGCCCTCACACATGTGGCCTTAAATCAAGTACTTTACCATGCAATAGAGAACATGGCCATTGCTCTTAGGGAATTAAACAGGCATGACATATTTAATCACTTAAATATACTTTGTTGTAGTCATAAGCCACAGTTGATGAAAAATGAAGCAAAGAGTTAGTTAAATAGAACTCAGCTTTTTCTGTCTGGAAAGCCTTTGACATCTGTTTTTCCAATAACTATGCCGATTATTTTCTGAAAAACAAAAAGGTTATAGAAGACGAATATTAAACACAGATGGAGATGGTAAATTTAATTTCATGGACTTGTTATATTTTACTGGCTCTAACAAACATTTTTGACTAGGAACCATTTAAATGTATTTATTCCAGACAAACATCTAAAAGAACTTCATAAATGTTCATTCTACAAGGAATAGTACAAAGTAATAAGACAGTTAACTGCTATTACAAATATAATCATTTAATACTTAGTATGTTTCTACTTTATTTTCAATCACTAGGTGGAGCACAGTAACTGCCCTATGCTATCAATTCTTACTGAATTCATTCAAAGCACATGTATAATGCAATTTAATTTGCCATGGTCTTCAAAGCTTTCTTTTATATACGGGTTTCTAACAATCCACATAAAATTGCTTAGCTTCTTAATGCAAACATGCTGGACAGTAACATATATTAGATTGTAACAAAACTTGCATATCACTGGTAATAAATCTAAGCTCTAAAGTCCTAGATCTTAAAGGTATTAACATGTCTTTAATATTTTTAATGTTCTCTTTAGTGACTAACAAAGAAAAGTTAAATATTAAATATTTTAAAATACTTTTAAAAATAAAAATAACTATCTTTTTCTGAAAGGATGAACTTATATCACATAATTCTAGCAACTGACTTTAACCTTGCAATAATCTGTTCAATTTTAAATACATGCAAGCTTTTAAGACTACCACATCCTAGCTGAGCTATTAGCTAGTCTTATTATATTTAGACACACTGTTATTATTTTTTAAAATTCCATATGCTGCAGCTCTCACTGATTTTGTTAGGAAAACAACTAATGGGAATATTGAGTAAAATTTTCTAACTGAAGAGGCAATTAGCAAAGAGTTTACCTTTCAAGAAAAACTGTAACAGTGATAATTATTTTAACATTAATAAAGTTTAAATTGCAAACTATTAAAGTTATGTGTAATTTATTTCACTTTAAGAAATCTGATTTACACATTCCAAATGTAAACAGCAGACTGCTGGGGATAGGAAAGATAAGGGAGTATGATAATTGCTTTATAGTAAGTTCTTCACCTTATAATATGATTCCACCTAGATTCCTTTCAAATAAATAACAATCTTGGAAATTTGAAATGACTGGTGCCCCCACAACCCTTCTCGCCAAAATTAATTTTCACACAATGATTTCAGAAACACATCTTTTGTGTACCTTTATGTCACAAAAGCAACATAATAACAAATGTTTCAGTATATAACTTGGACAGTTTGATTGGACAATAGACGCTGCTTAACAAAAATGCTTAATTTTGCCATGCTAAATTTGACTGCATATTAAATATTTAGTTTGTTGTTGTTCAGTCGTGAAGTTGTGTCTAACTTTTCGCTATATATAATTAATACAAATAAACTTCCAATAATTTTTAACAATTACTAGTCATATCTATAATCTCCTAATGTGCAGACAAAAAAAGACTAATTTTCATTTAGCTGGCATAAATACAAAGAGGTTTAGGAGCATTTAATATCTAACAATCACTAGTACAATGAGTATCTGTATACTTGTCAATTATACAAGCATGTGTTGAAATGAATCAATAATGTTGACATACTGTAATATCACCACCTAAAGCTTCAACAGAGAAGAGATGAACTACTGCACTGCTGAAACTTACCAGATTAGCCATATTTGGATGCAGATTTGAAAGTGCAGTAAAGTTCTTTGATGCAATGGAGTTGGCCATTCTTTTATCTGCATTTTAGAAAATATAATTTAGATGCATAAGTTAAACAACTGAAATTAAGCTTGAAAAATTCCAAGACTGAAAAAAGAATTTATTTAGGAAAGTATAGGATATTCTCATTCTTTGGGAAAACTTCATTTAAGTGGCTGCACTAAATCTTAGTTACAGCTTGTTAAGTCCTTCGATCTTCACTGCGGCATGAGGAACCTTCAGTCTATAGTTGTGGAAGGTGGGATTTTTAGTCGCAGCATGCAAACTCTTAGCTGTGGCATGTGGGATCTAGTTCCCTGACCGGGGATCGAATCCATGCCCCCTGCATTGGGAGCTCAGAATCTTAGCCACTGGACCACCAAGGAAGTTCCAGAAAAATTTTATATTACAACAGTGATATGTAAGTTAGATTCAACCTGTAAAAAGCATGTTTTTAAAAGGTCTTTTAAAGTTATGAATGACATAGTTAGGTTTCAATTTTTTTTTCATTTATTTTTATTAGTTGGAGGCTAATTACTTTACAATATGGTAGTGGGTTTTGCCATACACTGACATGAATCAGCCATGGATTTACATGTGTTCCCCATCCAGATCCCCCCTCCTGCCTCCCTCCCCATCCCATCCCTCCGGGTCTTCCCAGTGCACCAGCCCTGAGCACTTGTCTCATGCATCCAACCTGGGCTGATGGTCTGTTTCACCCTTGATAGTATACTTATTTCAATGCTATTCTCTCAGAACATCCCACCCTCGCCTTCTCCCTCAGAGTCCCAAAGTATGTTCTGTACATCTGTGTCTCTTTTTCTATTTTGCATATTGGGTTATCCTGACACTTTGTAAAAAAAAATTAGTCAATGTTTGAGCAAATTTAGAGTTTCAGATGAGAGATGATACAATAGGACATTTGCAGATTTAAATATTTATTACCATAAAACCTACTTTAAAAAAAAAACATAGCAAAACTACACTGTAACCACCTTGAATCGTGCTTTTAGTTACACTGTGTATGGGGATAGGCAGTACTTCACCCTCCCCTCTATTGGTAAATAAGCTCCATCAGGGCAGAAGTAGCATCTTACACACAATTTGTGAGTGCATTTCAATGCTACCTTCCACATAAAAAGAACTCAATAAACATGAGATAAATGAAACAGAGACTTGTCCCTCAACTTAGTCACTAGGAAAGGTTTTAGTGTAGTAATAACAGCTGTCAGCTACACCCAACTAGCAGATTTACTTGATTTCACTTTATTTTATGTGGCCTCTTTAACAGTGAATGCCCTCATCTCCAGGCTGTACACATCTCCAATGTGTACTCCAGGACACATTGCATAGCATAAGTTTCAAGAAGGCTGCACAATTACTCAAATGTGATTTTTGAATTCCAGCGCCACTAGTTTGTAGTCAAATGTTTTGAATTACTGAGCTTTAATCTCCTCATCCAAAAAATATGGATAACATCTACCCTCCAAGGTTGTTGTGAGAATTCAAAATAGTGTACATAAAGAGCCAAGATGTCCACAGGCTCTTGACAGATGAGAACACTGCTTTTCATTCTTATCTAATGTAGCAGTTTCTGCATTCAAGCCAGAATAAACAATTTAGCAGTGTTAAGGTCCTACTTATTTTTCAGCTGAGTCTGATCTGGCTCACTATGCAATTTCAGTCTCTGAAATACTTACCAGCCTGACAGATTCATTCATTCATCCATCCACTCAGCCAACACTTATTGAGAGCCTGCCAAGAGCTAAACACTTGAGGTTAGAGAAGAAAAACTATTCAGTAGCCAGATTTTGTGTAAAAATACTATCCATCTACATACTGAGTTCTCCAAAATTTTACCCCTTAACATCTCTTGGTGGTTACTTACTTAGAGGAATAGCACATGAACTCTTTGAAGTTCCTTCACTTCCTACTGTTAATCAAAATATACGGTGATATACTTTAGTGTCTGTCTACAAAAAGAAAATGACAACTTACTTCTCTAGGTTTTTGAGAAATACAAAATTAACACGAAATAAAGAGGCCAGTATGGTGATACAGAGATTACAACCATTCATCAGCAACTGCTGTCCCTTCTATTTTCCAAATATATTTAAAAAGTCTCTGTTTATCCATCTCCAGTGCCATCTCCTCAGTCCAAGGGTCAGTCATTCCTCATCTAGAGTACTGCTATTACCTAATCTTATACATAGTTTATTCATTCAACACATATGATTTGAGTGTCTGACATGTATCAGGTACTGAATCAGGACAGGAGGGGCGGCTCAGAGAAAAGCAAAAAAAAAAAAAAAAAAACAGTGCCAGGTGTGGGGCTAGACATGTACAGCCCCAAGACCACAGACCCAGCTCCTTGACAAGGTAAAAGGGAAAGGCGGTGGAGGAACTAGTCCAGTTAAGGTAAACTGGTGGCCAAGTCACAGGTAATAGTTGTGGAATGCCTATTACGAGGTTGGCCCTGTACTAGAGACACTGGATACACATCATCTCCCCACCACACACACAGTTGATTACCACTCTCCAGATACCTCAGCAGCTCTCCTTTCCACAAATGGGACCTGGGACCTTGGCACACAGTTCCATCTTCCTTGAGCATCCTCTCCAATCCCACCCTCAGATCCTCCCAAGACAAGAGCTTTAACATTTTGCGGGTCTCAAAGAGAAGATCTTATCACCCTCCTTCAAGTATCCCCCAGCCTCGATTCCTTCTTTCAGCATTCTCAATTCCCTCATTACAGGATGGGGCTCAGGATGACAGGGCTGTGCCTTGCCTTGCCCTTACTGTATCCTACAGTGCCTAGTTAGGCTAGCACCTCAGGCATAGTAGCTGCTAGCTATTTGTTGACTAAATTAATGAAGGAGTCCTAAAAGAAACCAGATTTGTAATTTGAGAATAATATTGCTACAATTTACTTTCTGGGTAAACAGAATTTTAGTTACTAACTAATTTTACATTTATGTCCAGCATTTAAATTATAGAAACAAGTACAAATTGTAACCTACTATTCTAGATCAACAGAGCTTCCAAAGAGCTGGCATTGATGGTCCTATATAATCGTCTAGTTTATTCCACAGACCTGTGCTGGAGCTGCTACAGAGAAGTCCTCTTATGTGGTTATTTTTGTATGTGAAAATCCCCCCAAACTTCCATCACAAACCAAAGACTTTTTTTTTTTTTTTTAACAAACTTTGACAAAGTTGGCCACCTTGCTGAGAGGGGAACAGTTGTTCAATTATTTTTATAAATCCAATTCAAGAGGGTAATTTTTACTCCTTCAGTGGGAACTCAGCAAGTTTTGCATACTCTGGGTTGGCTATGAGAAAACGGGCAACCGGCCATCACCAGAGAACTCACCAGCACGGAGACAAAAAGTGCGCCTGCTAGTAAACTTTCAAGGTAGTCTTAATTTTTTTTAACCAAACACTGCTTTGAAAAAAAGAACGAAAGAGAGGGAGGAAGGGACAAGACTTGCACACAGGGATTAAAAACCGTCCCTTTTAAACCCTTCACGTTTTAAAATGTACCTGAAGATTCCAAATCTAGGACACTCTAGAATAGGGAACACTGTGGAGAGGGCGCCCGAGGTGGCGGGGAGCGGGGTGTGAGTCGTGCGTGGGGACCTCCAAGGGCCGGTGCCCGTGCGCACGTGTCTGCACACACCTGTCAACCCCACAGAACGGCCGCGCGTCAGCCAGGCTGGGTGGGGTTGGGGGGAGCGGGCGGGTGATGCACTGAGTTAGTTACCTCAGGACGCGCTTATACCCCCCGCATCGATTACACCCGCGCGTCTACGTTCTCCGCGCCACGCGGACGAGCACACTCCACCCGTGTCCTGTGTTCCTACAATAACTGTGACTCCGCGGGTGTGGACTGGAAGCCGGCGTCAGCTGTCCACTTCTCACCCGGGCTCTCACCCAGGCTCGCACCCCGGCGCGTCCCCCGAACCGCAACCCGCCGGCTTCCACCTCTCGAGGGCACCGGGGTGACCGCCACCCGAGGAGCCCGCGGGCAGCCTGGAAGGGAGACCGTTCCCACCGCAGACGGCGCGGCCCAGAGGCCTGCCCTCAGGAACAGACGACGGCCCGCCGCCAGCCGCCACCCGGCTTCACCTCAGCGTCAGCGCCGGCTGCTACCGGGAGCGCTCACCTAGACGCTCTCGCTCTTGGACAGCAGCCAGCCGCACGCAGGCCCCGCCCAGACGCCTCCCCCGCTCGGCCGGAATTCGGCTTCTTCTCCACAGCGAGTTCTGCCCACAGCCCCAGCGCTCGATGGTCGCCGCGGGAGGACAGCTTTGGACCGTTAGCCCAAGCCCCGCCCCCGCCGATCTCAGACTCCGCCCACTCCTGGGCTCTGCCCAGCCCCCAAGTTCTGATCCCGCCTTCAGATCCGAGTCCACGCATGCCCCTCCCACCGACCTCAGACTCCACCCACGCCCTGACTCTGCCCCGCCCTCAGCTTCGACCCCACCACGCCTCCCTCAGCAAACTCCGGTTCCACTCACTCCCTGCCTGCCCCACCCAAGCTCTTCTGACTCCGCCCACTCCTTGCCCCGCTCCGCCCCTCGCCCTGACTCCGCCCTCAGCCCTGCCCTGCGGCTCCCAAGCCTTGAGGGTCGCCGCCCCTCTGCAGTCTGGATCTTGAGGACAGAGACTCTGGGAGACTGGCCGCGAGTGGTTCCCGTTTCTTTGCTTTCCCAGGGGCCTGAGCCTGTCCTTCAGACTTCCGGGCGGGAGTCCGGGCTGCTAAGAACCAGGTGTCCAGGAAGATGCTAGGGATCTTTTCTGCTGAAATAGCAGAAATGCAGGAGACGTTGCTATAGAAAGTGCATCAGCTGAACGCACAGCTACAAACAAGTGCTAAGTGTAGCCGGGGAAATCTGGAAAAGCCTGCTTGTATCTACTCAGCAGCCTAGTTGTGAGCTTGCAGGATGTTCTGACTGGGGAGAGTTGGATCGAGTGCAGCAGGGATCTGTTAGTTCTTACACGGCATGTGACTGGATCTCAGGGAAAGAAGAGCACGAAAAAAGGGTGCGTGGTTGCTGATAAGGCTTCTAGAAGGGGAGCGGATGTTGGATGCAGATTTGTCACCTGCTGGGGGAGTGTGAAGAAAGGCCAGGCTGCTAGATGGATAACGCTAAACCCTGATGATGCTATTTGTATCATTTCAGGTGCATATATATAGATATACACTATATGTATAATTTGATGTGCTAAATATTGGGCTTTGGTGAACTTGACAAAACATTCCCCGGGCTTTTTAGTTAGTACCATTTGGAAATCTTTTTAGTTTAATGACATTAATCTTTGTTGAAAGAGGAAGACCCCTGGAGAAGGAAATGGCTACCCACTCCAGTATCCTTGCCTGGAGAATTCCATGGACGGAGGAGCTTGGAGGGCTACAGTCCATGGGATCGAACAGTCGGATGTGACTGAGCGACTAACACATAAAAAAGTACTAAATCAGGGGCAAATAAGTTAAGATCCAACAACTAAATTCTTAAAATTTGTCACCAATTACTGTCCACTTGTATCATTACTTAACATATTGAAATTCTTTCTTTAAAAGGAAAAACAATTTTGGTTCTTATTGCACAGCCATGTACTGCAAAAGAAAAGTGCAACATCAGGGGCAAGTCTTATGTTGTTATCAAAACATAGTTTTATGTTGCATCTTTTTTTTTTTTTTTTGCTGTGTTGCTCTGTTTCCAGGATTTTAGTTCCCCCACCAGCAACTGAACCCCAGCCCCAACAATGAGAGCACCGAGTCCTAAACACTGGACCTCCAGGCAATTCCCTCCTTTGTTATTTTTTAATTTCCCAAACAATGGTAGAAAGAAAAATAAAGTACCTGCATTCCTGCCGCTTAAATAAAGTTAAAAATTTGTTTTCCTTACTCCTTTCCACTCTTTGTCTTTACAAGCACATACCTTGATCTTTCCAAAAGAATGAACTGGAATTCTTAGTCTATTCTAAAGGGGAAAAAAAGGGTATAAAAAATAATTTGTATGCATTTTTCATTTGAGCCTCACTAGGGGAGTAAAATTTTTAATTTTCATTTGCATTTTTCATATTTTAGCAAATTAATTTTAGCCAGAAGGTATACAAGATTAAGCAAGCACAGTCAACTTCACCACGACACAATAGGCTTTTCATAAGACATGCTGCTTTGAAACACAAGCCTGAAAGAGTGGAATTGTTTGATGTTAATAATGAAATTGGGACACCCCCCCTTGTTACATAAAGAATTCATCTCTTCCATTTTTATAACAATTCCATTCTTAACAATAGAATTGACTTGTCAATCCAAAGTGTATTGGATACGAACAGAAGCAAAGACAGGGAACGCCTAGCCTCACCACTTGATGTAGAAGTCGAGGGTGAGTGAACAAAGGTCAGCATTGAAATTGCTTGCATGTCTGGCTAAAGAAAATGGTGTCAGGCCACACCCATCACCTCCCTGGAGCATGCCAGCTGTCAGGCCATTGAGGAGCATGTCGCAAAGGGGTGACAGGCAAAACATGTAGCAATCAACTTCACACGTACTAATCGCTGTGGGGGGGGGCGGGAAATGACAATTATTTTCATGAATTACAAAACCACCTCTTATTTATTCAACAACAAAATAACTTTTGTAAAGTTGGTCCAGTGATTACATATCCTTCCCAGGAGCTGAAATACTGACAACTCAATTACTAGTCTCACTCTCCACTCCTCCATCTATAATGGGACCAGCCAATAAGGGGAAAGAATCTGAAAAAATGTATGTGGTGGAGGCTTCCCTGGTGGCTCAGTCTGGTGGCTCGCCTGCAATTTAGGAGACCCGGGTTTGATCCCTGCATCAAGAAGATCCCCTGAAGAAGGAAATGGTAACCCACTCCAGTATTCTTGCCTGGGAAATCCCATGGACAGAGGAGCCTGGTGGGTTACAATCAAGAGGGTCACAAAGATTGGACACGACTTAGCGACTAAACAAGAAATATGCACTAGGAAACCAAAACGCTTGTTTTTTCTCGCAGTGGTCTGGAACTGAGCCATGATATCCCCAAAGTGTGCCTGTCATTGGTGTCTGGTCCATGCGATGCGTCCTTTCCGCACTCTGCATGCCTGCCCTGTGCTGTACCAAAGAGAACACGTTGAGGGAAGAAGAGTGGAAGAAGCTCTTTAGCACACGCAGCACAGGTGTCCCTTTGGGGAGGAGAATCCGGCTGCCTCCCACCCTGCCCCACCAGAGGATTACTCCTGGGACAACACAGAGAAGGGCCCCTCTCTCTGGAGGGCTGTCATGGGCCAGGTTCACCACAGTTTATGCTAGGCATTAACTGAGAGTTGGACACGACTAGACAACACCACCACCAGAGTCCAAAGTACTCCAAGCTAAGAGTAAGAGTGTTTGGGAAAAACCAGCTTCCACACGCAGCTCTACACTTTCCTCCCTCTGGGTCCAAATCCCGGGCTCTGTTCTGTGTTTGCTTTATGAAGTTGCTCAGCACTCGATAGCCTGTCTGTGTTGTTCACATGTTGACCAAATACTAAAAGATGAAAGAGAAAAACTCAACAACAAAAGACATTTTTATTTTTAATTGTCACTCTGTAAAAGGATCATGGATACTTCTCAGCGTGCTTAATTCCAACACACTTCGGCCAGAGTTCTCTCATCTTAGCTGTTTTATCGCACAGGTGTCTAAAATGAGAAAATAAATGAATCCTAGAAACTAAAAGTCAGGCTATCTGGTCAAAATTTCACTTTTGCCACTAATGAGCTGTGTCAGTCAAGACTCTCTGAGCCTCATTTTCCTTTTCTATCAAATAGAAGGTTTGGACAGACCCAAGGGACAAAGACGAACACAGGAGTACAAATCATGAGGGACAGGGTCTCTATTTATCTGTGTGTTTGTTGGTCTCTTCTGGATGGACAGTTTTGGAAAGTTTCTTCAGGTCAGATTTCTCCCATGGCTAATATGACAACCAGGCTTCCCAGGTGGCGCTAGTGGTAAGTGGGTAAACCCACTTGCCAATTCAGGAGACATAAGAGACGCGGGTTCCATCCCTGGGTTGGGAAGATCCCCTGGAGGGCACGGCAACCCGCTCCAGTATTCTTGCCTGGAGCATCCCACCGACAGAGGAGCCTGGCGGGCTACAGTCCATAGGGTTGCAGAGTTGGACACGACGGAAGCGACTTAGCATGCAATGTAGCAACTGGCCAAAAGCTGGTGTTTGCTGAGTGAATCATTGGACAATCATGAATAACATCAACTTCTAAAAGGTTACACTGCTGAAAGGGGAGACATTTTGCTCACTTGGGATTCATAGAGGCTGCTACATGTATTGAGGGGAAATAAACAGATTCGTATCTTAGGGCTTTCTCAAGTTCTTTCTAGTCCTAACTTAACTGCCTGTAGTGATCTTAGAAGAGTTATTGAACTCCATGTAAAATGTAAATAAACATGACTCCTCCCCCTTTTTTATTTGAAACTCCTACTGGCCATCGTGTACTCATCCCCATGAAGTAACAGATAGGAGACTTCCTTGGTGGTCCAGTGGCTCAGACTCTGGGCTCCCAATGCAGGGGACCTGGGTTCGATCCCTGACTGGGGATCTAGCATCCCATATGCCACAGTGAAAATCCTGCATACTGAAACTAACATCCCGTGCAGCCGAATGAATAATTACCTTTTAAAAACGGAAATAACAAATGGGAAATTATGGATGGCTGCGTTACATTGATAACCATCACTAAAACAGGTTGCAAAATACTTTAACTGATATTCCTGGCTGATAGTATTTTGGGACCAGGTAGGCTATGAAAACGAGTTGAAATGGCTCCACCATTCTCTTTTCAACTCAATTTTCCCTAAATTACCCAGATTCTAGTACATAAAAGGGGCTTCCTTTTGGAAGGTGTTTCAGACTGTAAAGAATCTGCCTGCAATGCGAGAGACCCAGGTTCAATCTCTGGGTCAGGAAAATCCTCTGGAGGAGGAATTGCTACCCACTCCAGTATTCTTGTCTGGAGAATCCCACAGACAGAGGAGCCTGGCAGGCTACAGTTCATGGGGTCGCAGAGTCGGACACAACTGAGCAACTAAACAGAAGCAGTGCATAAGAGTAGCAGAGAACTGTCACAAGCTTCCTGGGAGTGTCCGTGTGTCTGTCCTTCCTTGGCAGAGCTCAGAGCAACGGCCCTGCAGCCTCAGCAGTGTTCTACAGGCATCACCAAGTTCCACGCAGGGGACACATCAGGTCATCAGTTGGGGAATTCTTCCCCTCAAATTGCTTTTCTAACAATTTTAAGATCATTTGGGGGCGGGGGAGGGTGCCTCAATTGAAATGTTAATTGAAGCGGAAGGTGTGGAAATGCAACTAAAGCGGAAGGTGTAGAAATGCAACTAAGTACTAAATGT